AGTGTGCGTGTCTGAAATAACAACGATAACAAATAGGTGGGCCATGATTGGTTACCTTATCCTGAGCAACCGTGATATCGGCTGTGCCGAAATTCGCATAAAGACCGCATTTTCGAACGCATTTTTTGTACGCAAGACCTCAGTCTCGGTGCGACTTGACCGCGTAGGGTTTCCAAGTTCAAGAAAGAAATTTTGCAAGCTGGGTCCTTTAACACCCTCAAAGTCTCCTTCTTCTGGACCTTCTTGGCAAATTTGGACAGGCTTAATGTAAATTTGGACACCATCTGCAGTTGAGTCGTGGCGGAAGTGACAATAATGGAAAAAAAATTATGTCAAATATGGATATTGTATCATATATGCTTAGAGACATCTGCCAAATACAGTTGGACACCGTAAATTGGATGCTAAGATGCTAATTGTGACAGAAGACTGTTTCCACGACAGTTTGCGTGTTTGAAATAACAACGATAACAAATAGGTGGGCCATGATTGGTTACCTTATCCTAAGCAACCGTGATATCGGCTGTGCCGAAATTCATACAAAGGCCGCATTTTCGGATGCATTTTTCGTCCGCAAGACCTCAGTCTCGGTGCGACTTGACCGTATGGGGTTTCCAAGTTCAAGAAAGAAATTTTGCAAGCTGGGTCCTTTAACACCCTCAAAGTCTCCTTCTTCTGGACCTTCTTGGCAAATTTGGACAGGCTTAATGTAAATTCGGACACCATCTGCGGTTGAGTCGTGGCGGAAGTGACATAATGTGGCCAAAAAATGCGGCCTTCTGAGGACCCAGCTTGTGAATTTGACACAGCTGGACACCATCTGCAGTTGAGTCGTGGCGGAAGTGACATCATGTGGCCAAAAATGCAGCCTTCTGAGGACCCAGCTTGTGAATTTGACACAGCCATCATTTACAGCACAAGGCAAGATGGCCGCCTCCCCTGTGATGGATAAAAGCAAGTGGATTTTGACCCCCCGCCCCACATTAAAAAAATTACAATAATTACATTTTTCCAAATATTTAAAAGCTATAAAAAAAAAATAGCGCTCTCCACATAAGTCACACACAAGTCTTTTTTTCACGACGCCAGTAGCCAACGACTGTAACACCAGCGCATCCCACCGGGATGCAATAATAGAAATTTGAAGCCATAGTCCAAACAATTTACATTTTTCGATGAACACCACATTCCCAAACATTGTTCTCATATGTCTTAAAGTGAAAGTCATTCTGTGAGTTCACTGTGCTCTCCACATAAAGTCTTTTTTTCACGACGCCAGTAGCCAGCGACTGTAACACCAGCGCATCCCACCGGGATGCAATTACACTAATACGGACGTTGCCCATTAGACGGCATCAAAGCAGCCGCGTTAACCTGCTCGCTAGCATTTGGGAGAACTTCCCGTGTGTGATGCATAATACATTTGCTGACAACAAAACACCACAAGAAACGTTTCATCCCTCTCGTGGCGCAAAAACTGTGAAAACAACAGTCTTGTTCCCATTGTCGGTCTCCCAAAACAGTCTGCCGCCACCATTTTATAGCAAAAAAAAAAAAAAAAAAAATCCCATTTCTGACTCACCTCTCGCCATTCCCTGTTTGCTATCCCCTGCGTGTACAGCACACAGACTGCGAAGAGAAGGAGATGGAGAGGAGACTTTTTCGACAGAACTTTTCAACAGTGACAACTTCATAACGGCGAGCTGAGAGCATGTTTTTTTTTTCTTCCCGGACAGTGTCGTGGCGGGAAAACATCCTAATTAAATGTCACTAGAAATTTGCCTCGCAGCGTGATGATATGTCAGTGGCGGGGTGGTGGGTGGGTGGAAGGAGAAAGGGGGCAAGGTTGTTGTTTGCGTAGGTGGAAGAGGAAAAACAAGGTTAGAGTGCGGCGGAATGTCTGTCTGTCTTTATCGAGTGAGGATGGTCGATAATATTGACATGTGAGCGTTTCCCGTCCCTCGTGGGGAGTCTCCGTGTTTTTTTTTTTTCCCCTCCCCGTTAAGACAGAGAAATGGTGGAAAAGCAGAGCGAGGCGATCATCCGGCACTAAAGTGACATTTCATTAGCATTCGCGCCACCGCCGCTACCGCTACCGTGCTGGAGATGTGCTCGTCTCACCAAGTGCGAGGAAATGATGTCATAGTGAAGTTGGTTTGGGAACACATAGCGATCATCATTTTGGGGCAAGTCCCATCCTCTCTTTCTATGTTTTGATGCTCCATGTGAGTTAAAGTTGCAGTTGTTTGAAGTTTTACAATCACAGGTAACGTCGATGCTAATTCCTTAGCCGGAATGATGCGTTCGCAAAAAGGACTGATGATGTCAAACGATGTCATCGAGAAGGTTTGAGACCAGATGGCAATCATCAATTAGGGTTTGTTTTTTTATCGCATCCAGTCAAGTCTGATACTTTGTTATTATTTTGTGGAGTAACACCCAGCAGTTTACCGGAATGTTAATTGCTGTTAAAGACGTGCTGCTAATTGGTTCTTGGGTGGGAAGATCGGAGCATTTTCTTTTCCAATTTTGGTCACGGAATGAATCGAATTTGTAAGTCAAGGTTCCTCTTTTTGGGGAAGCGAGAGAGGAAGAAGGATGATCATCCTCGGCGGGGCCAACGTTTATACAAGGAGGCACTTGTGCTGCGTCCATGTCTCTGCTCTGCTGACAGTCACTGGCCACAGTCACACAGCATTAGAGCGCCTCAGCACACGTACACAAACACACACAAACACACACAGGGACATGCACGGCCACATTTCAGGGCCTCCGGCACACACTCGCGTACCATATTCATATTAGCTTATAAAGCCGGATGAAATTCCATTGTTTGTGCATATTGCCGCTCCTATATATGC